GGTGCAGCTCAAAAAACACTCTCGAAGCTTGACAGTACCCAGGTCGAAGGAGCTCGCTTATTAGCACCATTTCCACAAGCATCCACTTCCTCCACCACCAACACCCCGTATAGTAGTGTGCATGTCTACAAGATTCAGTGTAGAAATTCCCCAAATGTTTTTAGACAGAACTTTCCAAACCAACAGCCACTTCCATCTAGAAAGGTAAGGGCAGCAGATACATGCAATCACCACCACCTACAAGTTACCCTCCAAGACACTCACCATTCGGATTTGGGAATATATTGCTGTTCCTTCACTGTCACTCAATCAAAATCCTGGAATTCCCTCCCTAAGGGCATTGTGGATCATTCTACAACATTTGGACTGCAGTGTTTCAAGAATACAGCTCACCACCACATTCTCAAGGGCAACCAGGAGCGGATAATAAATGCTGGCCAGCCATTGATACCCATCCAACAAGTGAATTTAAAAAAATCTCCTAGCCATCCCTCTCAACTTCTGAAATGCATTGCTAGCTTACTAAGAAATAGCAATGTTTCTATTAATGAAACAGATATGTTTTTATAATGCCCTCAGGCTCCATCACCTAGAAGAATAAGGGCAGCAGTTGCATGAGGCCACCACTGCCTGCCGTTTCGTCTCCAAGTTGCACACTATCCTTGTTTGGAACTATATCACTACTCGTTTTCATTGTGTTGTGATGTTTGAAGTTGCAGTTTATATGTTGTGTTCATGTGTAGCTGCCATACTGAGAAGTAAAGTAGATGGAGCTGTAATATGCAACAGAAAGCGTGAAAAGATTGTTTAATAAAGAATCCATGTTGTTTGCTGGTGTATTGGTAAAGCCTGGTCTGTCTTTGGCTGCATCAAGTCCTAAAAATATCATGCTTGGCCAAGAATATCTCGGGCTCCAGCCTCTAATCACTGGATTGACATATTATCTGTCCAGTTGGAGTACAGTTGAGATCTATCATTGTAACTAGTCAATTTTCATGGTAACAATTATTGAGTCGGTGAATAGCAAGGCTTGTGGGCAAATAAAGGATTTTGTCACATTAACAATATGATTTCAAAAACAGAAATAGCTGGAGAAACTCAGCAGGTCTGGCAGCACCTGTCAAGAGACAGCAGAGTCAGCGTTTTGTGTCCAGTGACACTGTTTCCAGCATCTGCAGTTCTTTGGTTTTTTTTTGTTTTTGGATATGAAGAAATAGATTACTTCATCTTCACTGATGAGAGAATCAACAAAATACACAAACAAATATTATACCTTTGTTTTAGTGAATATAGAAATCTGATACCCTGTGAGGCTTCTTTGAACTGCACTGAGTTGGGAAACCAATCATAAGTCACAGTTGTACAGGATGTTGGCAAGGCCTCTTTTGGCGTACTGTGTGCAGTTCTGGTTGCCCTGTTATAGGAGGATATTATTAAACTGAGTAGGGTCCAGAAAAGATTTATCAGGATGTTGCCAGGAATGGAGGTTTTGAGGTATAAAAATAGACTGGAAAGACTGGGCCTCTTTTTGCTGGAGCGCAGGAAGTTGAGGAATGACCTTTAATGTGGTTTATAAAATCATGAGGGCATAGATAGGGTGAATGACAAGGGTCTTTTCCCTAAAGTAGGGGAGTTCAAAACTAGGGTGCATATTTTTAAGGTGAAACGAGAAAGATTTATAAAGAACATGAGGGGCAATATCTTTTACACAATGGTTCATGAGTGAAATGAACTACCAGAGAAAGTGTGGATGCAGGTACAATTACAATGTTTAAAAGAAATCTGGATAAGTTCCTGAATAGGAAAGGTTTGGAGGGATATAGGCCAAAAGCAGGCAGGTGGGACTTGTTTAGTTTGGGAACAGGGTCGGCATGGACTGGTTTGGACTGAAGGGTTTGTTTCAATGCTGTATGACTCTATATGAAGGGTCCTGTGATGTTCTGTAAAACTGAGAGATTTTATTTTAATTTAGTCAAGTCGGTCAGAGTGGAAATAGTGCCATTTACTTTTCTACGGCCTACTTTGATTTTATTTGCACTTCCATGAAATATTTAAGGATGAGTGATTCACAGTGGCAGTATATCTGTTAGCATCACTTGTCAAAGCTTGAGAACAAGTAAAACTGTGAAGTTTGCTATCCCAACTGTATTTTTCTGAGTAAAATGTCAATGACTGTGCTATCTGAGTTCATTGGCTGGGCACTGAACTGTGAAGAATGGATGGTGCTTAATTATTGCTCAGAAACTCTAGCTACTGTGTCACTACCACACAGTGAGAAGAATCATTTATGCCTGACAGGAAACAATATTAATCAATTACTGACAGATCACTGTGATATCATATTTACAGAAGCTACCAGTTTAATTTCCTGCATGACATCCGGCTGGTAATACTGTGGTAATAGCTTCCTGCACTGATGCATCTAGTTTGCTTTGTGCCTTGTTTTTCTTTTTCTTTTCTGACTCAGAAGTAATTCCACAAAGTTTACCAGCTATGACTGGCTTAGGCTTTGTGCCTTAGCTTTCTTAGTGTTGAAAAAACATGTTTGCATTGTATTCATTGACCACAGGAATAGATAGTATTTACTGTTTAAGGTCATTTTGAACCTCTCACAATTTAAGAACATCTTTTATAAGAACGTTTCCATAACTAGGTTATATTTTATATTTTTAAGCACCTGAGGTGAAAGGTTAAAGATGACCAATGATATTTCTGCAAGTTTTGTTTTATAATGCAGAATAAACTAGCAAGCTTTGTAATATGGAATTTATTCCACTAGCACTTTGATCAAAAACCAGTATAGGTCCTGATTTGTGTTGCAGTCTGTAGCGCAGTAGAACAGTGGAATGTCAATTGATCTGTTTCTCTACCTAGTTTCCTGTGCTTTCTGCTGTAGGAAGAACTGGAGAGAATAATGGAAGAGAATGTTGTTGCAAAAACTCTTCTTCCTTCAATCAGAATAGTTTGTTTATTTTTGTCCAGCTCAGTGAATAATACAAAGCATTCTTCTGTGAGGCAGGAATGTACAAAATAAATTAGGATTTATTTTGTTTACTGAGAATCAATAATAAAGTTGTTTCTTAACAGGTGTTATTAAAAGGGATGTAGACTACAAGAACAAGGAGGTTGCGCTGAACTTGAATACTGGTTCAACCTCAGCTGGAGTGTAATATCCAGTTCTGGACGGTGCACATCAGAAAGAATGTGAAGTCATTAGAAAGAGTGCAAATAAGATTTGCAAGAGTGGTTGGAGATTGGAAACTTCAGTTGTGAAGATAGATTGGTAAAGTTAGGACTGTTTTCTTTGCAGAAAAGAATGTTGAGAAGAGGTTTGATAGATGTATTTGAAATATGAGGGGTCTGTGTGTTAATGACATCTTAGAATTTCTAGGCACTTAAGTGTATTTTGAACTTCTAATTCCAAAATGTTGCTTTTTAAAAAGAGGACTGCTACAACCAAACGATAACAGTAGGTGAAATTCAGTGACTGACAGGATGGTGTGACCCCATGGAATATCACAGCTGTACAGAAAGAGGGAAACTTCAAGCAGAAAGATTTAAAAGGGCATAGATAACAATAGGATGACTCCCCTCTCAACAGGAAGCAATTTCCTGCATATGTATCTCTGCTTTATGGTCCTAGAGAGATACAAACAATGGGGTTTAAACACCAACTGCAATCCCTGGTCTTAGTGTATATGACCTGACATTCAAGTATGTGGACATGTGCTGTGAAGTTGACATCTTAGGAGCAGCCACTAAACACCCCTGCACTGCAGGTAAAAGAGGAACATATCAACTCAGCAACTACCATCAAAAGGAACGAGGAGGGAATAAAATCAGACAGCCTGCAAAGCCAAAAGTTATAAACTCAGTTGCTCATCTACCGATGTGAACACCACCAATACCATCCAAAGTAGTGCTGTAATGTTCTACTATCTATCCTTCACGGTCAACCTTGAAACTGATCCATATACTTTTTCAAAAACTTTTCTCTTTGTTTGGAATCCCGTCTTATTCCTAATCTGTACAAATTTGTTGTGTTATTTAATCTCCTCACCATTGATAACTAATTAACTAACTCCTTTCTTAATTCAATAAAGCCTGGTTAAACGGACTATTTTTAAATAAGATTTACTTGGTCTGGAAGAAGCATACCCAGAGGGAAATTAATCTTGTTATGACCAACTGAGGGGGTGGGTCAACAAAATAAATAAGCCAGTTCATCCCTCCTCACCTGGGAATTTTAACTATTTGGGTTATCTAGTCTGAAACAACACCAAAATTGGGGAGCCTTGTTTTGCTCTGTTTGTAACAGTGAACAGAGTAGATGGGGAGAAACTGTTCCCAGCCATGAAGAAATTGAGAATGCGATCCAACTGATTTAAAATAAACGGCAAAAGAAGCTAAGCAAAATGAGAAAATACTTTTTCACGCGGCAATTAATTACATCTAGAATTCACTGTTTGAAAATATGGCGGATGCAGATTTAATTGGCTCATTCTAAAGGGAATTAAATCGTTATTTGAAAGTGAAGTATGTGAAGGTTAAGGGATGAGATGGTGGGAGAATGACACTAAGTGATTTGTTCATTCAGCATGTCAGTAAAAATACAACGGACTAAATGGCCACCTTCTGAGTTGCAGCGATTCAGTGAATAGGATAAATTATATTCTCAGCACATGATCGTTATTCAGGTAGGTTTTACATCATGAATAGATCTGTTTCATAAATCTGTTCACTTTGAGATCTGGATTGTAAAAACAGATGGGTCACAGATGTAAATGCAGTTGGTGGGGAGTTACTAAATTTTCTGTGTTAACAGAGTGAGCTTTGTTGCTTAGTGTCTTCCCTTGCCAGACCTCACTCAGTAGTGAGATCTGTTTGAAGTTGGACATCATACAGGAAGACAAATGAAGCTAGTGTCTTTATGCACTTGACATTGGAATGCAGGAATGACGTTTTCCTTTTTTATTCCTCTTTTTGCCGATTGATTGCAGTCAAGAGCAGCAGAGTCACACTGTGCCTCAATAATAACAAACGAGGTGAACAGTTCTCTGGATCCTTCATGTCAGGTATGTTCCCTTGGAATGGACCCAGCCAGTGGTGACCCTGGCGCAACTAGCAATCTGGAGGACCACACAGGCATCCCACCAACACTTGCCAACACATTAGGGCACATTGTACAGCAACTGGATGTTTTAACCCAGGTGAGTGATTGGAAAGGTGAAAGACCCAACTTCCAAATAATAGTTTTGCTAATAAGTTTCTCTTTCTTAGATTTTTCATTCTGGGAGTGTTACAAAGCTTTTTTTTTTGTCTCCAGTTATATTTTTATCTTTGTGAGCTACTGGATCCACTATTGTTTGTTTGTCATTTATGTGAACGATTTGGATAAGAATTTAGATGACATGGTTAGTAAGTTTGCAGATGACACCAAAATTGGTGGTATAGTCGACAGTGAAGAAGGTTATCCAAGATTAAAAAGAGATCTTGATCAAGCCGGCCACTGGGCTGAGGAATGGCTGGTGAAGTTTAATTTGGATGAATGTGAGGTATTGCATTTTGGTAAAACGAACAGGGGCAGGACCTAGACAGTTAATGGTAGGGGCCTGGGTGGTTTTGTTGTACAGAAAGACCTAAGGGCTCAGGTAAATAGTACACTGAAAATTGCATCACAGATAGGGTGGTTAAGAAGACTTTTAGCACGCATGCCTTCATTGCTCAGACTATTGAGTGTAGAAGTTGGGACATGATGTTGAGGTTGTACAGGACATTGGTGAGGGCACATTTGGAGTACTGTTTTGGAGTACAGTTCTGGTCACTCTGCTGTAGGAAAGATATTATTAAATTGGAGAGGGTTCAGGAAAGATTTACCAGGATGTTACCAGGAATGGAGGATTTGAATTATGAGAAGAGGCTGGATAGGCTAGTACTTTTTCCCTGGAGCATTGGAGGTCGGGTGACCTTATAGAGGTTTATAAACTCATTAGGGACATAGATAAGGTAAATAGCAAAAGTCTTTTCCGTAGGGTGAAATTGTTCATAACAGGGGTGGGGGCACATTTTTAAGGTGAGAGGAGAAAGATTTAAAAGGAACCTGAGGAGCAACTTTTCCACAGAGGGGGTGGTTCGTATGTGGAATGAACTACCAGAGGAAGTGGTAGATGCAGGTACAATTGCATTTAAAAGACATTTGGATAGCTATATAAACAGGAAAGGTTTAGAAGGATATGGGCCAAAAACAGGCAAATGGGACTAGTTTAGTTTGGGAGACTTGAAAGGCATGGACGAGTTGGACCAAACTGTTTTTCCCATCCTGTATGACTCTGTAACTCTCCATGACTCTATGAAACAAGTAAATTGAATTTGTACAATCAAAATAGTTGCATGGAACCAGTACCTGTTCATTTTAACAAATTAAGACCACAACTCTTGTTATCATAGAGAGTTAAAAGATGAACTTACAATAACGTATGATGATTGCTACATCACTTTGTTCCTTTTCTCTGAAAACCCTTGCTTTGCAGTGTTAATGCCATACCACCAGAAGTCATAAGAAAATATAAAATTAAAAGGCTCTTTTCTCATGCTATCATATGATCAAAAGTACTATCAAACTAACTTACTTTCCTGAGAAAGACAGATATATGCAGATTAAAATCACAGGATAAAGCCTAGGTTTCATAGGCTACAATCATAATGTCATAGAAACATAGAAAATAGGACCAGGAGTAAGTCATAGGGTCATGCAGCATAGCAACAGGCCCTTCGGCCCAACACGTCCATGTCAACCCCAAAATATACTAATTCCGTTTTCTTGCACTTGGTTCATAGTCTACTCTGCTTTGGCATTTTAAGTGCTCATCCAGATCCTCCTCCAATATTGCGAGAGTACCTGCCTCCTCCAGTCTTAGGCAGCATGTTCCACATTTCTGCCACCCCCTGGGTGGAAAAAATGTTTCCTCGGATCACCTCTAAACCACTTACTCCTCACCTTAAACTTGTGTCCTCTGTCTTAGATGCACCTGCCATAGAGAAAAGATTTTCATGATCTACCCAGTCTATGCTGCTTGTAATTTTTTATATCTCAATCAGATCCCATCCCCTTAGCCTCCTGTGTTCCAAGGAAAACAAACTTGGGCTATCCAGTCTCTTGTCATAACTGAGCCTTTTCATCCCAGGTAGCCTCCTGGTGAAACTCCACTGCATCCTCTCCAGTGCAGTCATGTAATTCCATTTGTGTAGCGACTTGAACTGCACATAGTATTTCACCTGTGACCTCACCAATGTTTGATAAAATTGTAACAAGACTTTCTCGCCCCTATATTCTACGCCCCGGCTAACGAGGGCAAGCATCCCATATTCCTCTTCACAGTTCTATCTAACTGTGCTGACACCTTCACGGATCTATTGTACGCCAAGGTTCCTTTGTTCCTTGGTACTCCCTAGGGACCTAGCAATCATTGTGTAAATCCTTACTTTATTAGATCTCCCGAAATGCATCACCTCACATTTATCAGGATTAAATTTTATGTGCAAATGCTCTGCCCAATTTACCAGCTGATCAATATCAGACTGTAGCCTGAGGCCATCCTCCTCACTATCAGTAACACCAATTTTTGTGCAAACTTACTAATTATACCTTCGACATTCAAATTCGAGTCATTCATGTACATAACAACTGCAAGAGTCACAGCACTGATCACTGTGGTATGCTGCTGGTCATAGGCTTCCAATCACAAAAATAACCCTCCACCATCACCCTTTGTCTCCTATTTGCACGCCAGTTTTTTTTAATCCAGTTTGCCAAATTGCCTTGGATCCCATGGGCTATTACCTTTGGACCAGCCTTCCATGTGGGACTTTGTCAAAGACCTTACTCAAATCACATCAACTGCACTACCCTCCTCAATATATTTAGTCACCTTTCAAAAAACTCATTTATATTTAATCAGACAGATCTCCCTCACACAAATCAATCCTGATTATCCCTGATCAGTCCCTGTCTTTCCAAGCATTAATTAATCCTGTCCCTCAGAATTGTTTCCAATAATATCCCTACCACTGACGTCAGATGTACTGGTCTGTAATTATGTGGCATATCACTGCTGCCCTTCTTGAACAAAAGAACAACATTAGCTTTCCTCAGGTCATCTAGCACTTCACCTGTCGCTAATAAAGTATTAAATATATCCACCAGGATCCCAGCAATCTCCTCCCTTGCCTCCCATAGCAGCCAGGGATATATCTCATCAGGTCCCAGGGATTTAGGCACTTTTATGCCTGCTAAAATATCCTTCTTATTAATCTTAACTTGTTCTAGAACCTCAACATCCCAACTGAAATCCACAGCTACAACTTCTTTCTCCTCTGTGAATACAGATGAGAAATATTCCTTTAAACCTCATCCACATCCTCTGACTCCATGCTCAGGTTGCTTCTTTGGTCTCCAATGGACCCCGCTCTTTCCTTGTAATCCTCTTGCTCTTCATATACTTGTAAAATGCCTTGGGGTTTTCCTTAATCCTATCAGCTAAACGTATTTTGTGGCTGCTCTTTGCAATCCTGATTTCTTTCTAAGCACACCCTACATCCTCTCTTTTTGAAGGGCCTCCTCATTTTTAATGTGCTGTATCTACCATATTCTTTCTTCCTTTTTCTTTATCAAACTCTCAATATCGCTTTATGATGTTGGGTTCCCTGGACTTGCTGCTGTTGCCCTTCACTCTTTAGAAGAACATGCTGCCCTGAATTTTCACTATACTATTTTGAAAAGACTCCCACTTTCAAAGGTAGACTTACCTGCAAGTAGCTGCTCCCAGCCTACTTTTGCCAGATCCTAATGATATTGAATTTGGTCTTCCCCCCCCAATTTAAGCACTTTAACTTATGCCCTATGCTTATCCCTTCCATAATGACTTTGAAACTTAGAGTTCTGGTCATAGTTCCCAAAATGCTCGCCTGCCGAAACTTCAATCACTTAACTGGCTTCATTCCCTAGGATTAGCACTGCCCCATCTCTAATAGGACTATCTACGTACTGGCACATAAATCTCTCCTGGATGCACTTTAAAAATTCCATTCCATCTAATTCTTTCATACAGGTAATTCTCCCATAACATGATTGTTGCGTTCTTGTGAGACCTTGGATAATAGAAAATTGCGCTATAGGGAAATTGCTATAGAAAATCGCTATATTGTACAGTATAAAGTTCGCATTATCCAAACAGTATCCACCATTCATTATTGCGTTACAGCCAATCCGCGTTAACGAAACACAGGTTATAGCAGAACTACCTGTACTTGGGCAATGCCAGTTATTGGCAACAAAGTTGAAATCCCCTACAACCAGAGCCCTATTGCTCTCACTTCTTTCTATGATTTGCCTACATATCTGTGCTCCGTTAATTCCCTCTGTCTGTTGGAAGTATAGGCAAGTAATCGATTTTTTTTTTTTATTTCTAAGCTTTACCCAGATGGCCTAATTTGAAGAGCCTTCTAGGACATTCTCCCTCATTACTGCAGTGATGGTTTCCTTTATCAATAAAGTGTTAAATCATTACATAAATGCATTTCAGTCATTTTCAGGCTGGAGTCTGTAATCCAGTAACTGTGCTGGGTTTCTGTGGTAACACCCACGTTTTGTTTGCTCACTGGCCATTGAAGAAGATTTAGCTGTGCAGAACAGTTTTGTAAATCCTGGCTTTGAAACAGTTGTATTTCTGTTACTTTTGCCTCTGGTCTGCATTATAACCAAGTGATTTCCACACTACCAGGATTCTTAGTTAATATTGCAGATTTGTTTTCTGTAGCATTTTTGCTGTGCAGACCGGTCAGGTGACAATTCATGCTTTTCAGTCCAGTGCTTCCATTACGAAGCAGCCGGTTAAAAACATAAAGCTTAATTAATTTTGTGCAGGATTAAAGTTTAAGGTTGCTTCAGGTTACTTCACAGGCAAGGGAAAGGAAAATGACTGAATCACATTTGTGTAACAATTTAACAAATCTTAAAGATTGCAAAGCAACAACTTATTTTTGATTGTATTTACAGCAAGGAAAGAGAATGCTCATATTGTGTGTGTGGAGACATCAGAGACAAAATAGAAATAAAGGGCAAAAGCAATATAAAAAATAAATCTTAAGCAAAATTTTGAAGTTTGCCATCTGTTTCAGTCTGAGTGGAAATGTAAGAAAAGGAATTCGAAGA